GAGATCACAATCTTAACGCCTACCGGATCGGCATGTGAATAGGCTTCTTATAAGAAACGGCGCTTAGCAGATCATGGTGCCAGATACCATATTAATTCTATTCAACTGCCTTCACCTAAAGTTGAACTGGTATCTTGTGATCTAACCTGTGAAGCATTAACCACTGTGCTATAGACCCACAGGTCATAAATAAGTTAACATTTAATTTATTGTTAAAATATATAAAAGATATTGTTTTTTTTTAAAATATATATTATTCTTTAATATATTAATTCTTTCCAGGCAAATTTGCCTACAAAAAATTAATTGAATTTTTTATAATATTATTATTATATTATTTTATTTAATATAAACCTGTGAGTCCATAGTATAATAGTTAATATTTCACAGATCAAATCATAAGATATTAGTTTAATCCTATATGAAGGTGATAGAATTACAGTTGATAATATAAAGATCTGGAATTTTATTATAATATATAAAAAAATTTTTTTACTTATTTTTTTATAATAAAAATTTTTTATAATATAGCTGAAAATATAATAAATCATATTATATAATGGTTTAATAATTGATTTTCTCTTTATTTTTCTTTAGGAGCTCTATAATATGATTAGTTATACTCCATGCTAACCTAAAAAAGGTATCATAATTAATATCGTTCCACTCTTGCCTGATTATTTCTTGAAAATCATTGTGGAGATTTTTTTTTTTATCATATAAATGTTAACTTTTTTTTTCACTTTCTTTTTGAATATCACCTATAAGTTCTCTATGGGATTCAAGTCAAGTGAGTTCACGGGCCAGTCAATTACGCAAACATGATAATCTTCAAGAAGCTTTTTTGTGAACAGGAGAATTATCCTGTTGAAACCGCCACCTCGAGCCGGTTTTATAAATGTTTAGAAATAGGTAGAAAAAAAAAATTTCATAATATTTATATAAGTTTAGGTTCTCTGTGAATAAAAATTATATGATTGGTTTCTGTGAAGAGAACATTCCCCAAGCATAAACTTTATATGAATGTTTCATCATGAATCAGCATGGATATTGATCTCCATAATTAGTGTTTGGATTCAAATAAAAATTATTCGAATATTTATGAATAAATAAATATTCGAATATATATTGGCATTTTCGAAGATTGTTTAATTTTATTCGAAGATTTTTTATTTTATTCGAATTGATTTGTTCTACTTTGATCAATTTTAGATGGCCGATCCTAAGAATGACAATGAGTTTGATAATTATTCTTTAACAAATAATGAATATATTTCAACTGAGCAAGAATCAAATTCATTTGTTTCTACAAGTTTATTTGTTTTTATCAGTTTATCAAGAAGCTAAAATTCAATCAGAATACATAAAAAAGAAAGAAAGAAAGAAGTTTTGTATGGGAGTATTTCGATGAAAATTCAAAAACAAAAGAAACAATATATAAAGTTATGAATAATAATGGAAAAGTCTGTTTGAAAACTTATGCACATGGTTCAACTACTTCAAATATGATCTATTATTTGATAAGAAAATATGGAATTGTAGATTCTAGCAGTAATACGGCAAGTATTAATCATATTAAGAATAACAATGTAATTTTTTAATCATATTTTAATAATAATTCTAGATCAAAAACAATCAAATGGACATCCAAACAAGTTTTTAAACACTCTGAAAAAAGAAAAAAAAAAGTATTGAATATAAACAAATTTAGCAAAATCTTGCTGAATTTATTATCGGAGATAATCAACTGTTTTATATATTACAAAGTCCAGGTTTTCGAAAGTTATTACAATTATTGGATGCCAATTTTGAAATTTCATATGATAAAATGATAAAACTCTTGATTACAAAAGGATATAATTGGAGCTGTGATCAACTCAAAAGTTTACTTCAAGCAGATTCTATTTCTATAAGTCTTACAACTAATTTTTGGACATCTTAAAGTAGACATGATTACATTGGAATTACTTGTACATGGATTAGCAACAATATGATAATGTGTGAAGCATTGCTTGATTTAAAACAAGTACCATACTCACATACTGGAGAAAAGATGGCTTTATTATTGCAAGAATCGATCAAAGAATAGAATTTGAAAAAAAAACAATAGTAATTACTACAGATAACACATTATCTATAGTCAAAGCACTTCGGTTAATACCTGATATTGAGAGAATTCCATGTACAGCATATACTTTGCAGTTAACAGTTGGTAAAGGATTAGCTCCAGTTCAACTTCTTATATTGCGAGCCAAGTGTCTTTTGGATTTTTTTAATCATTCTCCAAAACAAATGGAAAAGTTACATTAAGCATAAAAAGACCTTAATTTTGAAAAAATTAATTCTATTATTGGTGATATATCTACCCGATGGAATTCGACTTTTTTGGCTTGGGATCATCTAATTGATTTGAAACGTGCTATTTCATATTTGCCAGGATGTATGCAATTTGATTTGGATAATCAAGTATGATTAGATGGAAAACGTCTTGCAAAGATTATGCTAACAATGGATGAATGGAAATTAATAGAAGCTCTTCTTGAAGTACTTGAAGACTTTCAAGAATTAATAACAACATTGAGTGGTACTAAATATCCAACTCATAATTTAGTTTGTCCACATGTTAAAGCCATTTTTGAAGAATTGGAAATTTTGGATGTCTTGGATGATTTGAACATTGATTTAACTGTCAACAAAATTTCTATTCCAGTTTTGAACAACAATACAAATACGATTTTTAACGAATTACCTAATTTTGAATTATAAGAAACCAATAATATTAAAATTAATGACTATCAAGAAATACCAATTGGTTCAAAGAAAAAGAAAAGGCTCGATCTCAACATATCACAAAGAACAAAAGAAATATTAAATCAAATAAAAAAAGAACTTTATCAGTCTCTTAAACAATATTGGCAATTTGACAATGAGTTGTCTCTTATAAGTTGTTTGTTAGATCCTTGTATTAAGGATCTAGGATTTTTAATCTCTGCACAACAAATCAAAACATGGAATTTAGTTCGAATATTTATAATGATAAATCACAAATCATTACAACTTTCAACTCTCTCATGACGAATAATTAATCAAGTGAAAGTACTCAAGAATTTGACGAAAACAGTAATCGACATCACTGAAAAGAAAAACTTAGTGACAAAGTGTATAAGATAACCCCCAGTAATATTTCATTTATAAATGATGAAATTATCCAATATGATGATATGTGTCAAGTAACGTGTAAGGTGAATCCATTAGATTGGTGAAGAATACGAAAAAATGATTATCCTATTCTTTATCGGCTAGCCAGAAAGTATCTTGGAATTTCTGGTACTTCAATTCCTAGTGAGAGGTTGTTTTCAGATGTAGGAAATCAAATAACAGTCAAACAAACCTCTTTGGATTCACAGCTTGTTCGGGAAATAATGTTTCTTAAATGAAACATGCATTTATTTGATATTTTTCCTCCTTTAAATTGAATGAGGTAAGAAAGTTTGTGGTTAAAACAATGCAATTCAATTACTAATGTTATGCGAAAATTCGTCATAGATTCTCCTTGGCACCCACCTTACACCCGAATACCGAGGATACCATATTCCAAAGAATAGCCTCATAATAATGAATAGCTATCTGATACATTTTAACAAAAGAAGATACCCAAATCTGCATAGGTTTGATTCTAAATGATTTATGGGTTTGGGAGCATAGCGGGCTTTCATCGTGATTGGATTTTTATTGGTTAACAAAATTAAGTTTCATATAACAATTGTAGGATGGATTTTGTTATGGATTATAGATTTTA